GTGGGTAAAACTCATCAACAGGGCGGCGTGCTTTCCCTGCAGACTCGGCCCGTGCTATTCTTGCATTGCTGGCAGGGACCGACTAATTCTGATGGGAGCAGAAAGAATTTGCTATTACCTGCAGACAAAAGAGGGAGGAAGATAATTCGCTCCCGTCCCAAAAGCAATCTCTGCAGGTGGGTTTTGAGACAGGTTTCCCACCGTCTCCCTTTGGAGACCACCAAGCAGGCTTTAAAGAATCCTTTGTATTTTTAGCAGTGACATAATAGTGGTGGAAATTTAATAAACTTCGCCATCAAATATTTATCCCATTACACTGGCTCAAGTAATTTAAGCTGCTGAAATCAACATTGTGGGTTTATTTTTTATGAGCCTTGCGTAAAAACAGCCTCTTCTATCATTGTCAGGTGTGTCTGGAAGAGCTGCATTTACGCAGAGCATTTTTAATCTTCCCAAAGAAACAACGTTGAATAATGCACAACCTTTACCAAAATGTTACCTGTCACTGGTAGAAAATCTAGCTAGGGCTGGGCAAGCCTGATGTTCACTGGCACTTAGGATGGAGCAAGAGCAAACCTTTCTCTGACCTAACTAGGCCAGTAACGCTGAGAGCGCCCCAGGCTCAACTTCTGGATGGGGTGCTCCTTGCCCAGTGCAGCAGGGCTGTTCCCAGCGCGTCCCGCTGACCGCTGGGCAGGGCGGCAGTGCCGGGGCGGGCGGTTTGCTACCTGCAGCCAGGGCAGGGGTGGACTGGAGGAAGCAGGGAGAAGCCCAGGATCCATGCCAGCTGGGAATAGCAGGCTATCCGAGCTGCCAAACACAACTGCTCCAGCTGCCTGGGGCTCCCCAGCAAAGAAACGGAGTAAAAAAAATGGGCATCTGGGCCACCGCAGGAGGGCAAAGGCTTGATGGGGAGGGGGGGCATCTGCCACAAGGACTGCAGTGACGTGGTCTCCACGTCCAGGGCAGCCTGGTGAACCCCTGCGAGCTGCCCCCGGCTTTGCCCACGCGTGGCTTTGGGCGCTGCATCGCCGGTCTGAGGCTGACCCCCAGCGACTGGCCACTGGGTAAGCCGAGCTGCTGGCCTAGGCTGGGCCCGGCTGCTGCTGGGAGCAGCTCGGTGGGTGATGAGATTAAAGCAGCCGTTAGGTTTGATGTAAATTAAACCATGATCCCTGCAGCAAAACGATATGAAAAAGAAAAAGCGGTGGGAAGATGTTTGTTTGCATGACTGCTGTTAAAGCAACTATTGAATTAAGCCAGGAAAATAATTCTGTCGGTAAGCTGCTGTTCTGCTTTTTAACGGCAAGGCTAAGGTGCCACAGTCAACAGTTGTCACAGCCTTCCCTGTAATCAGATTCCTGGAGCACTGGTAATGATTTCGTCTCAGTGGGATGCTTTGTGCTGGGAGAGATTTACTTGCGTTTTGTGAAATGCTTTAAAAATCAATGCTGCTCAGAGCAATTAAGGTCTTTGGAAGGGTAGGAAACCTTGGGCAAATCAGGTGCCCTGAATTCACTGGGTAGCATTTGCGGGGTGCTTTGGAAAGGATTTGCAGTGTAAATGCTGGAGATTGTTAGGAAAATTGGGTATGTGGATCAACGGCGGGGAGGATCCGATCGCCAGCAGCAGGCTCTGGGCAGGGCCCGGCACCTCCGGCTGTACCCATCGCAGGGAGGTGGGTGCCACCCAGCCCCTCAGGCAGGCGGGCACCGCAGCTGCCCAGCTGGAGAAGGCTTCTCTGTATTCGCCGTTTCTCAGATGTTCCTTAAGGTTTTTTATTAACGAATTTCATAGTTTTTCTCTGTGCTGCCCTTTCTTGCAAAGCCTATGTACTCTGCTCGGTTGTGTTAATTAATTTCTTCAGATACTGGCTTTCCACATTTGGTTCTTGGTGAGATACTAGAAAGAAATCCAAAATAAGCCACAAAAAGAGATTTCTCACGCGGCAAGCATAAAGTTTCATTATGTACCATAGATTCCCTGTTACTTCTATGTAGGGCCACTCTAGTTCCTGGTGTGAACACTCCTCAATAACGAAAATTAAGATCTTATCCAATTTGAGTGGTGCAAAGGTACTCGAGACAGCAGGGTTCAGGACGGCTGCAGCAGGGGGTTGCAGACCCCCTCGAATGTTTTGCTTCTAGCTGGGATAGCGACTCATCCGAAATTTGTCCAGGAGACAGTGCCTCTGGGAGCCCAAAACCGGCAGTTGAGCATTCACTGCCATCACCCGAGTCGGCATCGTTGGGCAGGAGAGAACACCAAGAAAAGGTGTGCTGCCAGATCTCTGGTGTGCCCTGCCGAGGAGGCGGGAAGGATGCCGCAGCGCGGTCAGGCAGGGAGCGAGGCTCCCCGTGCCGGGCGTTAGCCAGCGGATCCTCCTCCCGCTTGCTCCCCAGGTGCTGCTAATGAAAAATAATTCAGCCACCTTAACTAAAAACAACCTTCCCCTAGCAGGAAAAGGCCAGCCGGTGCTCCTGCTGGATGACTGTTTGGTTTGATAGACCTCTCACTCAACAGTTAACAGCCAGTATGTTTACAGGCAACGGGTGTTTTTTTGGCTGCTGTCCCTAGCATGTCACTAATGTTTAGCCAAATGAACTGGGAGGATTATAACAGACAGGGACACTGGTGCAAGTGACAGGCGCAGAGATAAGTGCTGCAAGAAGCTAATTTACACATCGAGTTTCACAGCCTGAACCTCCCTTCCTGCTCAATAAGCTCATCAGCTGCTGCTTTATACCCGCCAGCCAGCTTTCATAAAAATGAGGGAGCTAACAAAATCTTTTTTTTTTTTTTTTGGCCTGCCTGCTTAGACAACAGATTCTAATAAAAACTGCTCTTTAATATTGTTGAAAATAAGTTCTTTTTTTATGTGGAAATGTGGACTTAATGTAAATAGTTTGCGCTGTTCTGATTCTCTTTAGGGGCTGCTTGGCTGTCAGCAGTCCCCGCGTAGCCTTTCAAGTCGCTCAGGAGCCAGTGGCTGCCGCTGAGCTGGGGGCTGATCTCGGAGGGGATCCACGTTCTCGCTTGCCTCCCCCGGGGTGCTCTCTGTGCTACATGACGGCTGTTCTCAGAGAGGGACCAGCCCTGCTTCAGAAAACACAACCCCTGCAACTGCGAAATTCCCACCGCTTTCCCACAAAGTAACGTGGGTATAGGGGAGAACGTGGTGACTGCAATACAGAGTTTTGCGAGGGAGCCCTGGCTTCACCTGGGCGAGGTGCTTTGTCCTCTGGCAGCGTCCGAGGCCGCCCCGCTCAG